AACATAGCAGAGAAGTGAATGAAATCGGGCATGGGTGCATCTCGGGATAATAGAGTCAATCTAATATTAAATTGTTGAAGTACCTTAGCTGGTGCCATGTCTCGGTGCGAAGTCACCAGTCAAAATGCCCAGGCTGCTGCTTGTGATTAGATATCAAATTGCTATGCCATGTCTGGATGCAAAATAACCAAGAAAATGGGTGAATTGAATCGGTAAAAATAACTGAGCTGCATCTCGGGTGATACAGCCGATTTAATATTGATTTGTTGCAGTCCTTTAGCTGGTGCCATGGCTGGGTGTAAAATGACTAAGCAGACAAGTGAATTAAATTGGTAGAAATGCCCGGGTTGCACATCGGATAATAGAACCAATTTGATATTCAATTGGTGAAGTCCTTCAGCTAATGCCATGTCCGGCTGCAAAGTTGCAAGTGAATGGATTCTCCCGCCATCCCACCATCCCACCATCCTATCATCCCGCCATCCCGCCATCCTACCATCCCACCATCCCGCCATCCCACCATCCCGCCATCCCACCATCCCGCCATCCTGCCATCCTGCCATCCTGCCATCCCATCATCCTACCATCCTTCCATCCTTCCATCCTTCCATCCTGCCCTCCTGTCATCAGCATTATATCTTGACCATTACTGGGCCACTTCTCTCCAAAAACCCTGCTAATTATATCTTGATGTAGTCTATGACATACTCAAAACAAGAACGTATAGTAGTGTAGTTGACATGCATCTCCCTCAATGTTCCCCATGGTATGTATACCTTTACTGTAGTCTCCCCAAAGCAGAAAGAATACAGTGTATATTATATATGCTTAATTTGTGGTAGCTCAGAATAGCCATTTGGGGTTCTGAGTATCTGTATTGCACAAAATGCCCAGAAGACATATAAATCCCATGGGAGTTCCAGAGGAATATGTTCAATTATTATTTGCAAGACATGAAGATATAAGGTTCTAATTGGAGAACTTACCTGGTAAATGGTGCATGGAGAGGAGGGAGGAATACATTGTATCCATTCGTTACATCACCACAGTTTCACCAATGAGAGTCAAAAGTGGGTTGGAGGTAGGGATGGGATAGCTAGAAAGAAGTTTAAAAGGAATTACAGAGATTGACAAGACAAGATAATGATTTCAGAAGATTATATATGGAGCAGGACAATGGTACGTGGATAGTCACTAACATTCTAGCCATATCTCTGTATCCACCAAAACACATATCAAAACATCCTCC